GAACTACCGTCGAACTCCTTGCCCTTCCGCACCAGGAGCAAAGTCGCCGGCAGAATTGTTTCTTGGGAGACAGATACGGACAAAACTCAGCCTTCTAAAGCCGTCCGCGATCACAAACTATAACAATCGTAGCCGAAAAATGGAGGAACAATATAATCGTCATCACATTGCCAGACAGAAAAAATTCAATATTGAAGACTCCGTGTGGGCCAAGGACTATCGTTCCGGAGCACCAAAACAAGCGCCTGGTGAAGTGGTACAACAATGCGGAAACAGGCTCTACGACATTTCGGTCGATGGGCAAATCTGGAAGAGACATGTCAACCAGTTAGGTCTAAGCGTTAGCAGTAATCCAAATATTATAGAGACACCAACAGAAGTCGTCGAGCTGCCGCTGTTGCCAATGTCGAGGTCAGCCTACGTAGCGGAAGAAGCAAGCTCGATGCTGCCAACCACTACGGTCGAAGCACGGCCCCCACAATCAATGGACACTTCCACAACGACAACTACTCCCGTGTTGCAAGCCATTGCAGGAGAACGCCTAACCAGATCACGACGCCCTCTAGAGCGATTGATGGTCGATCCTAAGAAGAAGACGTACGCCTAGAGCGTCCATCTTAGGGGGAGGTGTTGTAGGGATCATAGGACATTGATTCTGTTGAGGCCACGATCACCTTCCCCGCCTGAATAGTGATCTCGTTGGATTAATTGTATTTGTGTTCAGTTTCATTCCATCTGCTAATAAATATTCCATCTGCTGCCTGCCACCTCAGACGTAACACAACATCACCATTATTCACGAGTAAACAGCGATATGTAAGCCGCTACCACAGTGTGATCTGGGATGATATCACAGATTTTTTCCTCCCTTATCAATCCAGTTTTCCTTTCGATCGGGCTGAACTTTTTTCAATTTATAGTAGGATAGAATTGCTTATGTGCTCTAAATAAACTTCTACGAGTGGTTATCTAGGTTGAGTACATTTTCAAAGTTATCACATCGAGTGCGTGGTGGGTGCATTAAAAGAACCAGGCTGAATGGATGAAAAAAACCCTCTTTGTCTATCCTTCCACTAATGGTATATTCATGGAGGAAATCCCATAAACAGCTCACAAGCAAACAGCAATCAGAACGCAATAACTCCTACGGCGGAGAAAAAATGCTTGTCTCCTCATACTGCGAACATTAGCGGAGGGAAATTGCTCAATAGTAAAATCTTGTTTTTAGACAGCAGCAAAATCGATCGATGGTCAGAGAGGAGGTGAGGGAAAGACTAGCCAAGTTAAACGTGCCAAGGGAAAGAACAGTCACCAGCAACAAAGAAATCGAAAGGTGGTGCGTTCGAGAATTTCTTTCTCTACATCTTGTTGGGAATTTCTTGTCTAAGCTTTTTTGCTTTCTATTTCCGACATTCATTGTTCAGATCGATCAAGACCCAAAATGTTCTATGAAACCAGTTGGACTAGAACAAACCGAGGAGTTGCGTAGCCCGGTGGTTTCAAGCGAAGGGTACGATGAATGGGAAACAGCTAGTGAGAGCAGCACACGTGTAGTACGGGAAGATCACAATGAGTTCGCAGTTTTCGTGATACCTCAGGAGTATTTACATTTGTGACTTTTTTCGCGCTTACATTTTTTCAGGATCAGAACAGATTCTAAACCTTCTCATCGTATCGCCTCATTTCTGCAACGGAACTTTTCCTCTGTGCAACGAGTTTCCTTGCATAGCGCTTCCCAGACTGAATGCAAAAGTCGACCCATGTCCGAGCGTTTCTATAGTTCTCAAAACGGCGAAAGCTCCAGTCGCACGTGTCTGTCCTCATCCGATAGCTGCAACGACGGTCACAACATTAATAGCAACTGTAGGCCGGAAGGTGTGCATAGCATGGAAAAAGTGTGTTCTTATAAATGTTTTACTTGTATTATGAAATACGTAATGGCCATCAAAGCTGCATCGGTATCTTAACAGGACGCGACGGACGGTCTGGCAGGGCTCGAGATCAGTGATATTGCCGGTGTAGCAGTTGTCGACGACCACTCAGTTGACGTCGTAAGTGCGGACCAGAACGACGATTTCGAAGAGGTCCAAATGGATTGTAATTGCAATAGATGTGATGCAAACGTTTTTTAATTTCTCGTTATATAGGTGTTGAACAAAAGAGCGAAGAAACAGAAAGCCCACGAGATGCAGGCCAAATTAGATGCTGAAGAGAAACGTAAGGCAAGAGAGAAAGAGCGTCAGGAACGTACTCAAGTGAAGAAAAGGGCACGGTATAATAATATGAAGAAAGGTAGTCGATGTTTTGTTTTTGAAGCAAGTATTAGCTGTTACAGCGTTAACCTTATCACGCGATTATTGCAGCAATGACAGTGAATTGTTATATATTTACGTCTGTCGTGAGTCAAGATGGAAACGTGGTACCCATCGTTCGAGATGAGACCTCTGTTTTGAGATAAAGACCGCGTTGAATCAGCGCCAATCCCTTTTCCAGCCTTTCAACATCCTTTAAAATCTACTATGCAAACAGGTGAAGCGTGGAGGTGACTGAGCATTCTTGCGGATATACAGAGTGGCTGGAAAGTGTAGGACGCCACATTACCTTTAGGATTAGAGTAGAGCTGCATGATCACTTCGGACAGGAAACGTTCGAAGTTCGGTGCTTTCGCTCTTACACATGCGTCTAGACGTTTGATAACTGAGCCGAATGCGCCGCATGTAGTCTACGTCGATATCGTCCTGCACCCTCTGAACGCCAAAGCGTTCAACAAGCGGTAGGAGCGTCCTATGATCTTGCCCTTCAAAGGCCCTCACCCAATGAGGTTTATTGAATTGAGGTCTGACAAAGAGGGAAATCACACATATCCATCCCACAGTACCCGGAGAAGTGCGCAGTGGGTACGGCTCTCGCCGATTTCGAGGCTTGCGAAATGGCTCAGTAATGTTGAAGGACGAACGATCGGTCACCGAAGTGCTCACTGGCTCATATCACCAGCGTTTTCATTAAAAAATACCTATTGGTGAGCTTCGGAGTCAGTTTTCACATTTTTGTCGATGAAGACCAATATTGTCTTGCTTCTGATGTCACCACAGATCAAATAATCACACTCCCGCGGAATAGTCGCCTATGCACAAGGAGACTTTTTTGAAACGCGTCGTCATCTTTCGGCAGTAACCAATAGTTTCGGCAGTAAATCTCTATTTTGGTGGTTTGGAAGCTTTTATTGTGAGAATTTTCTCATCGCCGCCGATCACGTCAGAGATGTGGCGTGCCTTGATTCCTCAAAGAAGACTTTGTATTTTATTAGCTGACTTTGTTTGGACCACTCCGAACAACTATCATCGGCAGAGTCGATAACTCTTCAGCTTGAGGTCGCATTTCGTAATTTTGCGGACGGTCCGACGGCTAATGTTGAGG